GACAAATCACAAGATCATTAGACATATTATAGTCTTTCATGTATTTTATTTTTTAAGTGCAACTGATCCATTGTGTTTCTTATTTTTTATACCATATTATTTACGATAGTATAATACATACTCCAAATTTCATGTATACCTTGTTTTGTGGTCATGACAATAAAGTTTATCTTATCTTGTAATTTTACTGATGAAGTTTCCAGACTACCAGATTGCATGTCTTATGGCACTTCAAGATGGCCAGAAATCACAATCTGACTTTAATTTTAATAAATTTTTTTTGTCAATAAATTTCAAAAATGTGGGCAATCTGTGCCTCTCTTTAAATCTACGACATCCCCCTGGAAGTGGTCTGTTCCGTCATAGAGCCCCTGTTAATAGTAAGACGTTTCATTGGTTAATTTGACTTCCCTGTATGCATGATCACAATAATACACCTGATAATGTAGGCCTAAACATCATAATGTATTTTCAGGTCATTATACTTTTTAATAGGCCTGTAACATACTTGTCCTTTACTTGTCTATAAAGCAAACATGATCTTATGTCTAAAATTTTTTGAATTCTTCCTGCGTCACACAATCGTGTTCTCCTTTGTATCGTTGTTCACATCCACAATTAATGATAATTTTGTTACAATGTAATAATAAGCAAGTATTTGAATATAATATATGCTGCAAAGTATCCCTAGAACTTTGTAGATAAAAAAAAACCTTATTGTCATACCTGCACTGATAATTTTTCTTTGAAAAACTGAAAACATTTTTAGAGTGATTCATGTCGTCTTCTTCTCCACTGTCCGCCATTTTCACAACCCGTGACAACTTTGAAATGCTTGAGTGCTCAAGCCCGCCCTCTCTAGCTTAAGTATCTATAAAGTTAAACATAAGGTTAGGTAGACCAGGTGTTTGTTTTTATCCAGTAGACCTTATGTTAGTATCACTGATAATAAATAGTGGCCACACAATAAATACAAACTTTTTTTTAATGCTTACTGTATATATAAGCCAGAAATGAATTCCAGTCCTTGGGTCATAAGGGGAAACACTGATATACCTCATAGAGCATACCTTGGGAATGTACTTAATATTGGATGACATAGTTAATGTAATATATATGGATTTAGGTTGGGTGTTTGTGATTTATGGCTTTGCAGGGATCGTTGATCGCTAGTTCACCTGACAATAAAGACATACTCTCTGCCAAACTAAAATGAAAAAAAGACCCTCAAGGATTCAATTAAAACTTGGTATAGCTCATTTTAAAAAATCAAATAAGTTACTAACTTCCAAACACAAACAGAAAAAAAAATTCTGACATTGTAATACAAAAGCCCATAAATTAATTCAATTTTGCTGTGTCTAATAATAATAATTTATTGGGAAACTACACTTTTGAAACAGTGGCACACTTTACATGATAAAGGTGCGTCCAAAAAAAACCAAAACATACTTTAAACAGAATACAATACACTAAAGAAAAAAAAGTATAAATTGAGTAACCGTCACTTAAGCATTTGACAATCACCCCACCCCTATCCAATACCCACCCTTGTCAAAGTATTATATGCAATGATACCTCAATACTCATTTCAATCCCCTGAATGATGCTTATTCAATTAAAATAAATTCTATTTATTTATGTATTCATTTTTTGCATAATTCTTTTACCACAAGTATGAAGAGCAGGATTCTCCATATAGAGGCCACAAATTAATATCATCATCATTTCATGTTCTTGCTTGTTGCAGAAAGTCTTTGGATCCATGGTGCTTCTGGTTTTCACGCTCCCTGGCAATGTATTTTGTCTCATTGTAGGTTAGTCCAATTTCTTTTATTTTTTATTTCTGACATCCATATATGGGCATGGTGATGTCATGTCACATCCATATATGGGCAAATCAAAGGTAATAATCACATACAACTTGAAAGTATGAACAGATTCCTGACTTATCAATCACTCCGAGCAAAAATGTGTTTTTTTGTTTTGATCAGAATGCTTAAGATGAAAATATGTTTGTCTAAACTATTGTACTAATGGTAGAAATACTGGAGTACTTTGGCGACCTTGATAAGCCAAGAACACAATATTGAAAAGGTTGCTTGAAATGTTCACAAAAGTCAACAAGACTAGTTTTCGAACACAAAATTTGCTAACAGGAATAAATTGCATACAGCCCGCTCACTGGTTACAAATGTGTGACATGTAGTTGCAACGAGTGCATGAACGATATCTAAATCATTGTAGTATTTACATTTTTGTAAACCACAAATTTGCTTTAATGTCAATTTCAATAAATAATTTTCTAAAATAATTATTGAAGTAAGACCATGCTAAGATCACATGCCAGAGCTTTATGTACTTAGTTTAATTTAACCTTAACATTTTGTGAAACCCTATGTTGGATGATAGTTTTATGGTAGAATCTTAAGAACTGTCTCCCCTTTGAAGCTGGTGGGGATGGGGCTGGAGGTAGTGGTTTTATTGGTGGTGGTGATGACAGAAGCAATTGAACAACAATCGGTATTAATAGAGCACCAATATGTATTAATAGAGCACCAATATCTACAGCAGATCAAATGCAATGCCCGGCAGATGGAGTATATGCCGTGTTTATATATTATGGCCAAGTGTCCCACTAAATACACAGTAAAAAGGAAAACAAATAGAAAAGTAATCATTTTCATGCATTTTATTCACATCACCCATGATTATGACATCTATACAATAATTTGCAACATTTACTATAGTTCCATGAATGCAAGCCCATCCCTTAAACTTTAAATAGAGTAGAGTTTTGGGGAAGTGACTTAATACACATGTTTAAAATATGCAACAATAACATCCCTAACCATGAAAACTATTCAAAGGTTGATGACGGTCTTATACCCAAGGAACTATGTTTGTAATAAACACAATGCTTTTGTTAAATAAGCTACAATAGTAGTAAAGTTGAATGTCTTTACAACATGTATGTAATCTTATTTACACTCTTAATCATGTTTAAAAGCATACTAAGCACAAAGCTACAGTTGTAATAAGCTATGTTGGTAACGATCTGCAGATTTAAATAACGTTAAATCTGCTGTGAAACACTCAACATTTCAAATTTTAGAAAATTGAATTTATCAGCTAAAAAATACTTATGATTAAATATTTAAATAGAAGTAAATGTGGAAGATTCAGTACTTGTGAGTGTGTTCATGAATTCTTCCTTAAATTCTGCATATGATTTATATGTAGTTGGCAAATGGAGCAAGTTACCACAAGTATTTACAGTAACTGCTCTTGCCAGGCCATTTGATGCATTAAAATCAATTAATATTGGTTCAAGTGGCAGATTTGTTGAGGATGTACAAAACATTAGAAATGATTCTGCAATTTTACTCTCAGTGCATTCAGAATAAATAAATTGATGTAGATATCCATAAGCTTCTTTGTTCTTTAAATTTTAAGGTTTTCCTCCGCTTGAAAACGGTCGGGTAAACTTCTCATTCTTAGGCCTATTACTGTAAATACTAGTAGCCCTACTATGTGTGTATGTACAGTACATAACAAAAATTAAGTCGCTGCATACATATTCTTTTTTCAATAAAACCCAAATAAAACGGGGGTCGGGGGTCCTCCCTGGAAAAATTTTGGTTCTTAGATGGCGAGAAATGAGTTTTCCCGACTTCTGAAGTGCCTTTTAATAAAAATCCAAGGTTTTCCCCTTTTGTAAATGGTTAGGTAATTTTTTTCTCATTCTTATCAAATTATTATTAATAAATAAGCCTATGTGTGTAATGGTACACAGATAATTTTTTTTTTTCAAGGGGGGGGGGTGGTTCAGGACCCCCTGCCCCCTCAGATCCTCTAATGTAATTACGTAATATTACTTTAATATTTGTAATTTATGCTATTTACTGAATTATTACTCACAGTACACATAAATACTTTAACAAGATCTGCCAACACAGAGTGTGGAGTAGTACAGTATTTGTAATCTTATGTATCAGGTAGATAAAAAATTGTAACCATAAAATCTAATTAACATACCTCAGGCTCTTGGTTGAAATTCTCAGTTATATAGCTGAAAGGTCTTTGAAGAAGACCAAAATCATCAAGAGTTTCTGGATCAGTACTTGGACCATCTAAGTATGCATCTCCCTATCATGGAAAAGCAACATGGAAACAAATTTATAAATAAGGACATTGGGATAACCACTGTATCACAGGAGAAACAAATGCATATAACATAAATATAATGTGATCAAATAACTACTTCAATGTTCTTTAAACTGTTTCACTATCACTATTTTAATTGTATTAATTTGACTTAAGACACATTTCATTTTTAGCCAAGTATGATCATCAGTACATTGTAGATGTGGGTGTAAATTTAGAGGAAATTGAAGAATTACCATAGATGAACGGAGTGATAAGGCTGTTCTCTGTGCCTCGTTATCCATACCAGACTCAATCTCAGCACTAGATTCATCTTCACTATTGTCAGCTGCAAGGTCAGCTTCATCATTCATGCCAGTTTTATTCTGTAGGTTGGCTTCATTTTCCATTCCAACTGCAAGGCCAACGCCATCCCTCAAATTGTTGGCAGGATCCTCCATGCTAATGTCAGCAAGGTCGGCTTCATAATTCAAGCCAGTTTCGTTCTTAAGGTTGACTGCATTTTCTATGCCATTTCCAACTGCAAGGCTGACACCATCCCTCAAGTTGTTGGCTTCCCCCTTGTTTTCAGCCGCAAGGCTGGTTTTATCCCAAAAGCCAGTCTCCGCATCCACTGTGTCAAATTCACCTGTCATGTGAGATTCATCATCCTCCATGCTAATTTCTGTAAAATCTGAATCATTATGGGGCCTGTAAAATTAGGAACAATAATGTTACAATATACACATAAAAATAATGACAGAATGAATCATCAGAATCTAGCTATAGAAAGCTATCTATAGTTTCATCAGTATTTTCAAAATTCTTTTTTCTTTTTTTCTCTTTTCTATCTCTTTATCTTTTTCCTTTTTCTTTTTTTTCTCTTTTGCTCTTTCTCTTTTCTTTTTTTTTCTTTTTCTTCTCTTCATTTTTTCCCTTTTTTTCTTTTTTTCATTTTTTTTCTTTTATTTTCTTTTCTTTTTTTTCTTTTCTTTTCTTTTTTCTTTTCTTTTCTTTTCTTTTTTTTTCTTTTTTCTTTTTTTTCCTTTTTTCTTTTGTTTTTCTTTTTTCTTTTCTTTTTTTCTTCTTCTTTTTTTTTTCTTTTTTTTTTTTTTTTTTTTTTTTTTTTTTTTTTTTTTTTTCTTTTCTTTTTTTTCTTTTTTTTTTCTTTTTTTTTTCTTTTTTGTTTTCTTTTTTTTCTTTTTTTTTCTTTTTTCCCTTTTTTTTCTTTTTATTAATTTTTCATTTCTCTGCTTTCTTTTCTTTTTTACATCTTTTTCCTTGATGAGCCATTGTAGCCTGGTCCAGAGAGATTCAAGTGGTTGGCGGATCAGTTGTGGCTTGGACTCCCAACCTTGAGATCAGGGTTCGAAACTCTCGCTGGTCAAGCCGCTTGTGTCCTTGGGCAAGGCACTTTATCTACGGTTGTCTCTCCCCACCTGGTAGGTTCAAACACAACCATGCGCTGATTACAGCTACATCATTATGGGGCATGAGTGTTGTTCCATGTGCTTGATCCAGTGACCGGAGGTTAGTCTACAATATGCACTATATAAGTCCATTCCCTAACTCCACTCCAACTAACTCCATTCCCTAAGCTTCAAAAGCAGACTTAGTTTATAAAGCATAATTCCTTGTGAGTTACTTGCTGTTAGATGGGATATGAGAATTGATAATAATAATAATAATAATAATTTTTAGCCTTATGCTGTTAAGTTGAATGTCCGAGGTGTCACTAAACAAAAAATGAATAATAGATTACAAATTATAGTTAATAATAATAATAGTATTAGTAATAACAATCTTCCATGCATATTATTATAACTTTAGTTGATTCAGTTTTTAGCAATTCTTAGGTAAGTTTTGAAGTTTTATGTAATTTGTATTTATCACAGTGAAAAGTAACTACCTATACATTTATGTATTACATTATGTGTAATCATTTTTTGCATTTTAGTTTCTATCATGCAATTTTAAATTTTAAATTTGTTTGTTTAGTTCAGTATTTCAATCTGGAGAGCCTCTCAACTGTTATTTTATTTATAAAATATAGGCAATCCTGCTTTGTTGATCTACAGTACTCTTGTTTTTTTCTGTGTCTGTGTCACCAACAGGAAATAAATTATATGATAAAAAGGTTCAATACTTTGCATGCCAAGAAAAAACTCAATCTGTTACTTATTATAATATACTGCTTATACGCATCTTTTTTATATTTTCATCTTTCATTCTAGTCCAGACCACCGGTCTGTGTATTACTGTAGTGGATGTGGTAGGGTCTGTGAGATGCACCAGTACACGGTGGTAATGTCGTGTTGGGGTCTATGTTGACTCGCAAGAGAGGTTAGAACTCGAATTATACTCAGTAGTTATGCAGTTCCTTGTAATGTTTTATTGTATATCACAATCAATCAAATATACAAAATGTGCTGAACTCTATAATGTAAACATAAAACGTTTACTCTCTATCTTTCTATCTCGGTCTCTTTCTCTGTCTCCTCTACATCTCCTTATCTGTGTCCTTTTCTGTGTCCTCCTCTCTAATAATTTCATTCTCTCATATATATATATATGGGACCAAAGGGGAGGAGCTATATAGATTCCAAGAAGATGGTTAAAGACACATCATTGACTCATCAACTACCTGTTTAAGACTCATTAACTACCTGGGTGAATAACCTTAGTTACTTCCTGAAGTTGACCATAACTCCCCGTGGGAAGTGCATAAAATATTGACATATTATCAATTATTTTCTATTTTGTATAGAATTTTTTTCTGTAATCATATTGAAATTGGTACATTTAATACTGAATTAGGTTAATTTTGCTGGTGTTATGCTGGTCTTCATGATTAGCAACAAACATATGTATGCTCAGGTTCATTAAAAATATGCCATTTGCAAAATAAATTAGGACTGTAACAGAGCAAGGTCCATCGTTACCAAATGATCTACAGCCTACGGATCAATTCTCAGTCAATGAACTCCTTCCTCTCAAGTCTTAATATCACTGTTCATCATTACACGTTGTCGACAACAATTGGTATAAGCCAGTCTAACACCCTCAGAGATTTCAGTTGCTGCATTCCTGGTGATGTAACATTCACAATCA